CTCTTAATGATATTGTATGCAACGAATATTGTCTTGGTAGCCTAAGAACAAGTTTTGGGCAATCAGTCTCAGTCCATGACTCCATTCTTCGGCAACTACGGTGCAAAGCCGATACTGTAGAAACTTGCAATTTGTACCCTTGACCTGACCAAATCCAAATCGGACCATTAGTTCGGGAGATAACAGGTGGGTAAAATTTACACCCCCCCCAGCCTCGCGCTTTCGGCTGGAGACCCAAGCCCCGCGCGGGTTAACATAGATTCTTAAAATTGATTGCGTAATTAGATATCTACAGAAAATTATTTGAGTAAAAAACACAAATTTTAAATAGTTCAGGATCACGTATCAGTGACTCACAGACCTTGGCCTATATCGGTCTAAATGCATAAATAGGTACCTTTACCGTTCAACCGTGAATGGGCAAAGTGTGAGGTTGGTGGGCCCATGTGGACTGTGGAGTCATCGCGGCGACGAGATCTGCTTAGTCTGGCACTCGCGCTCGCAACTAGTTACTGGCATTTTTTATTCAACCGTTCTGGCTAGCATAAAGTAAATTTTCGTCTACGTTATTCCTAGTCACGTATATGTCGGCGTGTGGCCCGTTCATTTTTCCAGACGATCATCTTCCAACTCTGACATAATCCGACGGCCGGTGGAGCGTTCGGTGGATCCGCTGCCCATATCGGACTCTACCATTACCTTATCACGGACAAAAACGGGCCTCGGCCCGCCGGCGGACCGGGAATGACCAGCCGACTAGCCGATGCAGCCGTGATAAACGGGCCACCCGGCGTGACCGGTGGGAGGGCCGGCCATAGGCGCGGGAGCCGCGATGGCTGTGGGGCAGCGTGTCCCCGCAACTTTGGGGTCGTAAGGGGCGCTGCCTGAACAGCTTCCAAGCTGGTACTCTCCAGGAATGCAGGAGGTGCCTAGAGTGAACATTTTTTACGAAGAATCGTTTTTAAACGAAAAAAATGAACTGTGTTGACGGCTGGCTGATAACTTTGTTGACCTAGAGAGGTCAACAAGGGTCCCAAAGCCTTAGTCATTCACAGCAGACTTTGGCCCATACAGCGAAGATAGACCGCTGAAAACGCCTTTGTTGACTTATAAAACGCTAAAACGGCATCAAACGACTCATTTTGCCAGATGTTCTTTCCCAATGATTTATTATTTTTTTTAAAGTTCAGCGATGACAAAAGGTCCATAAACATATGCACAATATATTTTGACTAAAGGCGTTGAGACGATTGCAATGAAAAGCATGCATCACTGGAGAGAACGAAGGCTGTATAAACTTTCCCATCAAACCTCTGATGAGCACATGACGTCCTTTGAATAGTACAGTATGATTTGTCAGAAAAAAATAGACCCCCTGCTACATACCTCCGCTGCACGTTGTCGCCTCATGGCATCTACCACGGGATGGGCCCCCGCTTCGGATTGCACGGCGCTGTGGTCGGCAGCGGGCCAGGCATTCCCTGACCGACCCGATCAGGATGCGGGTGCTTATTTAACTTTGAATACTCCCTCCGAGGGCTTTATAAATGCTCCTCCGGTAAGCTGTTAAATATTTCGGACATTTAATTACGCATTTAATCGTAATTTCTAAACGTTTTCCCGTATTGCTTAACCCTATTCCTGGCGGGCTCCGCCGGGACAAGAAACTGGCGGGGGGGGGGGGGGGCGATTCGGCCCCCCCCCCTGAGATCTCGAGAACGAAGCAAGATAGCGACAAGCGGTAAACGGCATCGGATACGCACGGCCAAGATCTACAATTTTTACTAAGGTCATTTTCAGGTCAGGTCAAAGATGACGTCACAGGGGTCGAAAAAGTCAAAATGGCGGCACTAGATATGGAGAGAGTTTTTCTCGAATAACTTTCGAATTAGTCAAGATAGGAACAAACTAAGGGCATCATCGTGATCCTCTCGTCAATCCGCATCGAATGATATATATGTTGACCTCGAAAGGTCAAGGTCAAAGGTTGACCTCAGGTCACGTGACCTCGAGGTCATCATGTATATCATTCGATGCGTCTTGACGAGCTGAACACAATGAGACCATCCACGCGTCTGTATCTTGTTCCTGTACGGAGTTATTGGCCAAAAACCTTTGGTGACCTTTGATGACGTCACATGACCTCACAGCTGCCCAACAGCAAAACAGACCTCAAGGTAGTGAAGGTTGATCGTATATGAAGTCATGTATGGTATATGGGGCCATTCCGACCCGTTTTAGTGGTAAAAACAGGGAGTTGATTTTTCCCCCATTGACTTATAATGGGGAGGTCGCGAAATTGACCTGACCTTAGGTCACCGATATCAAAATTCCGAGATATACAAATTGCACATACTGGTACCCTAACTAAACCCTGAAGAGAAGAAATTGATCGGTCAAAAACTCTAGCTCTGGCGTGATTGCAAACTTTTCTGAGGTAGCGTCACCAAACCGCCTCTGGTGACCTGACCTGAGGTCAGATCAACTCAAAATTTTCAGACATGTTGCGTAAAAGCCTTTTAGGAAAAGTCAGAAAATTTGAGCTTCCTAGCTCAACGCGTTTGGGAGATATAACCAAAAAACCTCAGGGGGGGCTCCTGAGGCCCCCCCCCCCGCCAGGAATAGGGTTAACTTGGAAGTTAGTTCCCGCGCCCCTTGGGCCGACCGTGGTCGAGAGCCGCCCTCATCGGGGAAGATCTCCTTCCTCTCCTTCGCGGCATTGTCCGACCCGACCGCTTTGGGTTCAAGTTTCCTGAGGCGTATCTCAGTTATCAGTTTTTAATTATGATCACATACCGTGCAACTTCACATTCCTGACTGGTAGTCTACCGTTATTCAATTCTAACGTTAGAGACGTTCCATGATATTGGGCCGTCGTTTTTTACGCTCAGATCTGTCGAATGATGATCACGAACCGGTATCGAACGCCGTACTTAGCATAGTCTAAACGTTACATTGCATCATTTTAGCGTAGTATTGTATGAATAATGGGTATCCTCACTGAAAGAAAAAATGACACCCTGTACGGGGTATTGACGGTCATGTCAAAAATAACACCCGAGTGGGGTGTTTTGAGGGGAGTCGCTGAGCTATTATAAATGGGGTGTTTGGCGTACACCCCAGGAGGGTTTCGACGCATAGTGGGGAGTCGCAACCGCTAAAGGGGGGTCAGCGCCGGCCCATGCATGGGGTTCCGTTAGACTGCAGGTGACACCCCTCAAATATCAGCCGAGCACCCCTTTTTGGTCCCTAAGCACCCGACAGGGTGTCAAACTCCCAAATTAGGGTGTAAAATACAGCAGCTCGACTCCCCTGTTCTTCTGATATAACTCCCCACATTGTTCCTGACCCCCACGCGGGGAACCGCGGGCCTTCAGCAGGGAGTCGCTCAGAGCAGCTCTACTCCCCTATACTTCCGAAAAACTCCCGGCGAGGAGTAAATGTCTTTCGGAACTTTTTTTGTTTTGTTTTGTTGGGTTAGGCTCTTTCGGTCTGACAAGACCATTGCAGAGCCGGAAGGATGATAGGAATTAGGGGGAGACATTGGTCTGGGCAGGCACCCTAGTGAGTCGCCGGGGCTAAGCCCGTCCATAGGACAGGCCACCCAGCCCCAAGGCACTCACCATGCACCCGGCTACGGGGTGCGCTCCCTCGGGAGCAGCGGTGCCGCTCCAAGGGAGCAGCCCGCATGAGATAAAGTTGCCTGTCCAGCCAGGAGGGGGTTGCGGCGTGGAGGAGAAGGATTTCAGTATCCTGAGGATAGAAGCACGGAAAGGTGTCTTTCGGAACGAGAACCTCAGACTATATTTATAACCGGGTGAGGAGTTACTCTTTCCGTTCGCGGCCTTGCGGCGCCCTGTAGTGTGCACGACCAACGTATATGACACGGTAACTTTTTTAACCAAGAACTTTTGTAGGTTGGAACAGATTTTTTGCGTATATCTCAACTTCTAGACGTCCAATCGGCTCAGGCAAAACACCACGCGAATTCAATTTTTCGGCAACCATATACATATATCATTTCCATGCGTAGCGATAGCGAGCAAAGATTCCCTAGCGGGCCTTCGGCCCGCGAGGGCACTTTCCATTTTTTTATTTTTGCCCAAGGGGGCCCCCTGGGCACGTCGCCGCCAGCCATACCGCATTTGCGGTATTTGCGGTCAGAGAGCCAAGAACCCCGCACCTCTTCAGCACGTTGTCCTTTCGATCTCTGTCCGGGTACACGGTGAGCTCCTCACTCTCGTCTCCAGTGACGCGCGGCTGACTGGCCGGCTCTCAGCATTCATAGACGACCCCCGGGAGCGGTGTTTGGTCTTGTTGAGGGCCCGCTACCACCCTGTGCTGACCATTCACAGCACGAGTTTCTCTGCCGCCAGTGGCCATTGCTAATTCACCACACTCCCGGCTGAGGCCATGCGGCGAAAAGTTCATTTACCGTAATGACACACGCATTAGCATGTGAATCCATTAGCGCCGGGTGAAAGGCGCCTCTGGAAGGGCTGATTTGTCATCGGCGCCTGCTCCAGTGACCGGCGGCGGCTCTGCACAGACCCGGCGCCTGGTCGGCGGCTCCGCACAGACCCAGTGCCTGGTCCGGTGACTTGCGGCGGCTTCCACAGATCCGCCGGGAGCCGCTGACGCCACTGCAGAACCGCTCCTCACTGGGAGATGACTGGGACTGCTCCTCCGCTGGGACCTCTCCTCACTGGGACTGCTCCTCCGCGCCGCTCCGCACAGAATCACCCCAGATTTCCGGGGAGCACGTGGGCTTCGGGATAGAAAAACGGCATGTCTGATGGGATACTGATGCAGCTGGGCTGCCATCGGCATACTTTGTGCTGGCAGGGGTTATTGATAGATAACATGAGAATTATAATGGAATTTACCCTTCTATATATGTACACAATACGCATTATATATTATATGTATAAAGCCCAATACACCATGCACAGTACACACTGCATTTTCATTAAATGGAGTAACTACTTTCCCTTACAATTTCACTCCAAAGAGGCGACCTTCTCATTCCGCCACTTCAGGAAGGCTTTACTCTCCTCCTCGGTGAAGTAGTTTTTCCAGTCACCCACCACCCCCTTCCTCATGAAGGTGCCTTCCTCGGTGCCAGACACCATGCCGCTGTTCTCCCAATGACGGAAGTTGGTGTCCGGGTTCGCCTTCATCACTTCGAAGCTGGTGTTCTTCACGATGTCGTCGACGTCGGCGTCGCTCAGGGACACTCCCAGGAAGCCGGCCACCTTGCGGACGACCGAGCCGCGATCCTGGTGCATCTGCTCGTACGACAGACAGAGCACAGTGTCCGAGTGTTCCAGGTAGCCCTGCACGTGCTCTCGGTAAGGACCGCACACTATTTCGCCGCGCATGAAGTTGTCGCGGAAGTCTGCGAATGTTCCGCGGTACTGGAAAAGATTAAGCAGCCTCGCGAATTTGTAGAAAGAAACGCAAACATCTCGGGCATCGCGGTACACATAAAGCACTTTGGCACGGCTGGTCTTCACGCTGTCTGGAAGGAGATGGTAGTGAAAGTGCGTCTTGATGAAGCGCTGTTCCGACATATCGTGCAGTGAAGTCATCTCCATGAGTTTTTCCTGTGACGGTATTTCTAACAGGGGAAACCGATACTCCAAACAGACACCCGGCTCTTTCACAGCACCACTTGCATGGCGGTGAGTGACACGCCACACGATCTCTTGCAGCCAAGTGGTGCCGGACTTCGGAAAGCTGGCCACGATGATATCAGAAGGCCTCCCTTGAAACTGTGCCAATTGCTGTGTGACTCCCCATTTGATGCTCCAGGCATCGCATGTCCATCCACGGTACTTGAACATGCAGTACCCGGGACTTGTGTAATTGGGATCACGTGGCAGTGGTTCCCATCCTTCTGGAATGACGACCTCTTCATCTGCTGTCATCTCCTTGGACATAGTGTCGCCGTTTTTTCGCTTTCTTTCTCAACGCAGCACTATTTGTGTGCGGTGAAGATGCCTTCGCTTCGCTCAGATAACTAATCCAAATTCAGTGGTGTCTGTCGAGGGCTGCACTGCTGCTCGCTGTGTCCCTCGGTGGGTTCCTGTCGTTGTGTCACACTGGACTCACTATACGGAAATCCACACCGGCACCGCTTAGATGTGTCGCGCTGTGCTCCACTCTGCGGTCACAGCCGCACTGGACAGCGTTCAGTGCCCAGCGCCCCATTTCCTGAGTCTGGTAAGCTGACCTGAGAGTGCTTATTTTGACAGCGCCGTCGGAGATTGATGGGCGCCGTCGCACGCATGGGCGTAGGAACGGCTGGAGCATTCTGGGGGCATGAGTGCAGAAATCTAACCATATGATCCAGCCATGATCCAACCAACCAACCATAATCTAACCGAGTGAGACTCTTGAGTCAGTGGAGGTGGGGAAGGGGGGGAGGGCACTGGGTGTCGTGTTCTTATTTGACTTTCATCTTCACCAAAATCAAAGGACACTTTGAAAGGTCGGAGGCTCATTGCCAATATTGAGGGCACACAATAGTATGTATCGACCCAAATAGGGGGGGGGGATGAAAAAAGGTCTCAAGGCTATTGAATATTGTGCTTTGAATCGCAATATGCTATGTTTAAACTGCTGTGCAATTGCTTTTTCGACCTGAACTGAAATGACCGAAGGTCATCGCGTTGCTTCAATAGGCAAATTTGCTGTAGATGGGAATAGTTTTAGGTCATATAGAATCATTTCGTATCGTTTTTAAATTCTAGCGCTCTAACTCTATCTAAGTGGGCCTCAAATTGCTGTGCCCATTAGAGAGCCGTGGCCCGTGGGGTATGTAACCTTTACATAACGATGGTCGGTTACTATCTCTAAACCATTAGAGCGCTACGAATGCTGTGTTTGCCCTCCAATAGCAAAGGGTGCCTAACGCCCATGGCGCCCAGGGGGGGGGGGGGAGGCATGACCCAGTGCCCTCTTCAATACGCCTCTGGTTACAGCCCTGGATCCGCCGCTGATTGACAGTGTGGAGTCCTGTATCCAGTGCTGGGTATCGCCATGTTTATAACCGGCAACTGGATGTTTCTGAGACGCTGACCTCGCTGAAGAGTCGTAGCATTGACCCGGCCGGCGGTGTTTATGCTCATTCCGCCTGTTAGGACCCCGATGCCCGCGCCATCTCACCGGTCATTCTCCCCAGTTGGCTGTCAGCGGCCGGAACCACTCGCGTCGGCTCGTTTATAGGGTAGGATAGCCCCTACAAAACGATACCGCCGGAGTGATAACGACGGGATGTAGTCTGGATTGAGGATATGTAAGGTTCCACTTATTTTAAGATCGCATCTTTTAATTGGTGAGGGTGGGTGGGAAACTTCTCGCTCACTCTACGACCCTTTCGCCGCCCGTCGCCGTCGACGACTGCCGTTCGTGCCACTCCAGTCGACGGCCCGGCGGTCCCGCGGCCCGCGCCCTCCCAGACACCCCTCCGAGGGCTGCCCTGCGTCTGTCGATGGGGCGATTAGCCACGGTCACGTTCGGTGGCGCCCTGGCAGGGTCCTAACCTTCCATAGCCGCGTCGCCGCTATGAGTTGAGTGCCGGTGATCGGTGACACTGGTCAGTTCAGCTGTGTAAACAGCAGAGAGCCGACTGAAAGGTCGCGCTGCCAGAGATAGTGCTGGGAGTTTATGTTCAGATAATCGTGGTGCGATGCGTCTGTCCAGTGCCCACATGGTGAGCCGACTGAGTTCCCCACCGTGATAATAAGCAAAGCGACTAACATGTGTCTTAGTGTCACTGACTTTGTGTCTCAGCTAAGTAAGTTCGACAAGGAAAATGCGCCCATTCAAATAGAAGGAACATTTCAAGATTTTAATGTTTTATTTATATTACCTTGTTTCCGGTTTGGAGAACTGAGAAATTCCTACATGTAGATAGAACAACACTTTTAGACATCATCTGCGACCAAATTCAATCCAGCGCTTGCTACATAGGTTCGTGTATGTGTGCACTCGTATCTACAGTGAACACTCGTATGTGTGTTCACTTCACCTCCCACGTTCTTTATCGTGCTCCCCTCCATCAATCGGCATGGAGGCGCCGGAGAACCATTTACAGCGTATCAACTGATGTGCGCCGCAAGCCAATAAACCGTATGTCATATAGACCAAGTGCCATTGAGGGTAACGATTCTGATCAGATCGAACTGGGGCCTCCACAAATCGTGTGCGCCGCCCGCGCTATTGCGTATTGTAAACGGATTGAGCCGGCCGGAGAAGCCAATAGAGGTACTAGACCCTGCATCGGCCGAGGGTGTCTTATTTGATAGTTTATACATCATCTACAATCTACATATAAGAAATCACGCCTTACGATGATATAAACTGATGCTAGAGACGTCCAGGTTTCGCTGGTCACCGCGCCGGTGTGTATTCTGTAAAGACTCTGCAGGCTGCTCTCCAATAACCCGGTGTGAAATGCGATCGGGTCTGTGCACAATTTTTTTACGGGTGGTTGCAAGCCCCAGCGGTTTTATAAGCAAACAACAAGCTCACTAGATAGGTACTTACTCTCTATAGCATTGCGGTCTAAAGTGCTTCCGCTCTGTTCGAAATTTGAATTAGGAGTTGAGGACAAGGCTCTTCGAATTCAGCCATTAATTGTCTCCATCTCTTCCATCACGCACTTCGTAAACTAGAGGCTCCTGCAGGGTGATGCAGCTCATGATCAGGTGATACAGGATCTGCGCTACGGCCTATGGATAAATACGCACATGTTTCACACGTGAATGTGGAGGAGAATGATAACGTGTGATGGACTGGCTGAGGTATACCTGCCGGTGAAAACCACTCATAAATCACTGGAGTGGTGACAAAGCTGCACAGAGGGAAGCGGCAGGATCGCCTGAGCGTCGCGCTCAGAAGTTAATTTGTATCCATGGACGTAAGAACGTCACGGAAAGTGTGTGTGGGGGGGGGGGGGGGGGGGAGGGGGCAGCGAAGCTTCAATGTCACTTTGTGGGAGCCCCAATACCCCTATAAAGAAATTCTTTGCAGTTTTGTGCTCATCTCCCCTTGCTGAACCATTTCCAGCTCTTACTTTTATCAATAAATCAAAAATAAAGATTTTACTTAAAAAAATGGCAGAAAAGTGGGGGCCATGCCCCCCGCACCCCTGTTCCTACGCCAATATTTGTCTCACTATGTTACTGCGAGAATGATTGGTCACCCTGTCTCCTAAGCATGAACTAATAATGGGTGGTGTTTGTGGAAAGCATAAAAATGTTTTACCGTAAGTCAATCGTCACTCACCATTTGCCTTATGGGAGTTATAACTACGCATTCGTTGAGCTTCAACGCGACATCTAGTATCATAAGGCGTATATCTGTCTTCCTCCTGGATATGGTCCGATCTGTCTCTTAACTGACTGTGCTGTGGCATATCCCTCACATGTGTAGGGGGGGGGGGTCGGATGGACCCCCCATAGTTTATCGCGAATACCTCGCGTAAAAAGCGGCCGATCGCGACGAAACTTTCAGTACCCTCGCATTGATCAATTTTACACCTACCCTGAAAATGTAATGACCCTGACCCAAATGACCTTTGACCTGTGACCTCTTTTCCGAGACCATGTTTGGCCGGAATCGCGATTTCGCGTATGTCGGCTCGCATTAGCCGCGCGTATGCAAGCTTTTCGTGGTTTCAAACGTTTAAACATGTGATTTGATGTTGCTCGCATACATTAGGGTGGGTGTCAAGGTCACCTGAAGGTCAGGTCAGGTCATTGACCTTTGGTGACCTCGGGTGACCTCGGGTCACTTTTTCGAGTTTTACATGTTTCTAGTCTAGTTTTTGGAGCTGAATTCGAATTTAGCAACCATTTGAACATTTACGGAGTAGTTTTGGTGACTTCGTAGCATGTTACGAAGCTGTCAGAGGTGGTTGACACGTACTACGAATACCCGTCACGACGCCTACTGGTTGACCTGACCGGACCTGACCCGACCCGGTCTAAATGCTTAAAGACATCATCTGTGATCAAAACTAACACGATATTCGTGATCAGCACCCCGAAAAACCCCTTAGCAGCCACACTTTACGACTTTCTAACAGGTCCCGATTTTTCCGACTTTGGGTCATTGACCTGACCTGGAAGGTCAACCAATGACCTAGGACCTTAAAATTGGGTATCATCGGCTTCCTCTCGTCACGGGCAACACGCTCGTTTTTTTTTTCGCGAAGCTCTAGCTCGATCAGGGGCCAAACGGCAAGGGGAGGGGGTCCAACCGACCCCCCCCCCACACACACACACATTAGAAGCTGGCAAACGCCGCACACATGCGAGGGATATAGTTTCGGCAAGCACCAGCTGCTAGCGGCTCTAGCCTGCGGAGACGCCGGCCCAAAACACCGTCATCACACGGAGGAGCACCGCTGCAGCTGAGGACCGGCCGGGGGCAGCGGAAGATGCCATGCGGGGCGAACTGAGGGCCGGAGGGAACAGTGGGCTGCAGGGGAGGGACCGCAAAGGGAGGAGCGTGGATTCAAGTCATAAAGTATTTTTATCTCTCTGATATTCAGATATTGTATACCGTCTTTTCGATCTGAGCTTCTCAAAAACTGGATACGTTTATTCGACACCAATTTCCGGAACTTATTAAGCCCGACCTTGGTGGAGACTTGAGTGCATGTTTACTGATCAGAAGGCGGCTGAAGTGACCTCCTGAGGTCCGCCTTTGATCTGCTCCCGCAGTAAACACCCCGTCCCGTTATCAATGCGCCGAATTTGTCACGCGCCGCGCCGGGACTGCCGCCGCCCTCCACCTGCCGTGGGAACTCTGTCGCAGACTCGGCCGAGATGCGGGTAAATGCCGGGATGATTACGGCCGGTAGTAATGAGCGCTACGAGGTGGTATCGATGGCGCGGCCGGCAGTGTCTGCGGTAGGTGTTTGTCTAAT